GCGCCCAGGATGCAGCCCCAGCAGGGCTGGCCCAGCCTGAGGCCCGCCCTCGCCACACCAGCCCGGCTTCAGGTCCACAAAGGATACAAATGTAGCTGACTCACAGCGCGGCCTGTTCATCATTTGGGGGTTTGCTTTTCACAAAAACCCATTCAAGTGACCCTTTCATCTTAGGACATGAATATTTAATCACGGCTTTGATTGCATATAAAGAGAGTTGAAGGGTATCTTTTCACCTAAAGGTGTAATAATTTAATAACACTTATTGAACCTTGTATTAGATTTCACTCGGTTTTAATACCTTGCTGCTTTAAATAGGGTCCATTTTTAATGGGGACCAAATAGTCTATTTTTTGGTTCTCTGCTTCCTTCTACACACCACAGGGCACGCGGTGCCTCGTCAGCCCCTCTGATGAAGAACAACGAAACCATCAAGATCATCGAGATCAGACAATGAAACCACCCACTGAAGCCTCCTGCGGGCGAGGGTGTCCCCGCGAGGATTATCACCCTTCCCGGCGGCATCAGAGAGGACGCTGGGAGACATCCCCGCCGCTCCGCACGCAGCTCCGAGGCAAGCCCCTCAGAGGACCTGTCAGCGGCACGTTCAAGCACTTCAGGTGCCGGCCCGCTGACCATGAAGCCTGAGATTCTGTTCATATTTAGCTCCTCACCTACAGGACCTTCCGCATCGCAGCCGGGCTCGGTGAGCTGACCTGGGCAGAGCGCTCCATTTCACACCTTGCGTTCCTTAGATATCGGTTTATTCAAATCGCTATTGGGCTCCCAGGGAAGAACTGTTCCCCTCTGCGGCTTCTCAGATGGCCGGGCCTGTGGCGGGCGCTGGGGCCCACGGCTCTCCGTCGCCTACTTAACTGCTCACCTCACCGCGAGCCTGCTGCTCGCCCTGCTCTGTTCAGGGGACACGATTTGACCCACGATTTCTTGAAACCTGTGTTCCATAATAACCAGCCATGTTAGACTAAGACTCTCCTGTCCCCAGTGCAGCCGCGGTGTTTTGGTTGCCAGTCCCTTCCGAACAGGCCATGTTCTGTAAGTGCGCGCTGCTGTGGGGGGAACATTTTCTCTGTGCTGTAACTTAGAGTGTTGTTTGTTTTTTTTCTTTCTGGCGTTATCTTGAGGAACTAAAGGAATTTCTAGACACTTTTTCCCTGAGATCTCGGCGGCCAGGGACGCTCTGGCTGACTCCCCGCCCGACTTTATTTCTATCTGCGCCCACAGGTTAGTGCGCGTGCATCTCGTCCCTGCGCTTCTGCCTCCCCACCCGTCTCCTAGCCCTCCGGGAGGGCAGAGGCCTGTGTGTGGCGTGTGGACCCCACTGCCCACACGGACCTCAGGGGCAAAGCCTGGCTCTGCAGGCGCTGGCCCTGCAGACAAATGAGCTAAGATCAGATTAAATCTTGTCACCCTCTCCTTTGTGTGAAGAACAGTACAGACTGCGCCCTTCCTCCTCAGCAAATACCCATTTAGGGCAAAGAGCAGCCAGTGTCTCCCAGCAAGGCCATTTGCTGCATCTTTTGCTAGGTGACTTCAGGGCAATGAGGTTTTACGACTTTCATCTTTAAATTTCATTGCTTGTATTTGATCTTTAATCTATTTAGTTCTTTGCTCTAAAAACAAATAATCTGAGGAATTTAAGAAACATATAAAGGGACAGGAAATGAGAGGTAGAAATCATAAGAACACACACCTAACAGGTATCTTGTATTGCGACAACTTAGCATCATGGTTAATTGCATGCTGGCATCGAGCTAGGCCATATGTCATGAGTGGGTGTTAAGACTTAAAATTAGCTCACAGATTTGTATCCAATTTTAAAACAGGCCAAAAAATCACATCAAAGGGTAGCCTTTTCTCATATTCCATTAGTATGAGTCTGAATTTTAAGATTAATATATAATTAAAATTTTTATTTAGATAACGCTATTGCATAACATGAATAAATATCAACTTAGGCAGAGAAGCAAGTATAAAAAATATAACCAGCTATCGACTCTAATATTTAGGGTTTGTCTTAGTAAATAAAGTATTGATCTCTCCCGTTTGGGACTTTGGCTGAATTCCACTCCGCACTCCTCAGTGAAATGGATTCATTGTTCTTAGCTTATTTTTAGCAAATAGCAATTCACATAACAAATATAAACTGTTCCTTCAGCCCGTGTGGCCTTTTCTTTATGAGAACAGCTTCCCAGAAGTCTCCCATGGAGACCCAAAGAAACCACCGCATGAACTACAAGGGGAAAGCATCACCTCAACACACGTCTCCTCTCCTCGTTATTTTAATAAGCGTAGCCCCACCCCTTTCCTTCCAGGAACTTTTTTGACCTCTTTGATTCTGAGAAACTTTTCCATCATATTCTAGGTGTTTTTTGTTTTGCTCTTCCTGGCTTTTTGCTTTTTTTTTTGGTCACTGGTGTCATTAACAAGGAAAGAATGCAGTTAGGAGGGACGTGAAAGCCAGCAGCTACTATGTCCCATTCCTGCTCAGCAGCCAGAGCAGCACAGCCTCCCAGTGACCCAGAGGGAAACCAGGAATCACTGCAGCCGGAAGAAACCCAGTAGTTTCTGCCTGTCAGGCAAACGTGGTTTTCATCAGCAACTACAAAATACAAGGTGCCCCCAAACTGTAGACACACTTTACATAATTATTAATTCCAATGGGTTACATCTGAAAGGAAATAAACATCAATTGAGCGATTAGCTGGGAAGTGTGTCTACATTTTTGGGACACCCTGTATTTATATGAGTTTAATATGTTTGATCTGGAAAACAATTCTGGAAAGAAAAAAAATCTATCCAGTCTTGAGATATCAGAAATCTTGGAAGAAACAAGACTATTTTGACTGGGAAATAAGAAAAAGCTGAAAAGTCCTATTTAGCAAAACCTTAGCTATTTGCTATCAGAGACAAGATGCATGGTTCTCTACAAAGGAGATCTATCAACATCCATGAGAAATGCCCATCCGTGGAGACCAGGCACACCTGTGCACCATCATGGAGACCACCAGGCACACCTGTGCACCATCACGGAGGAGACCAGGCACACCTGTGCACCATCACGGAGGAGACCAGGCACACCTGTGCACCATCACGGAGGAGACCAGGCACACCTGTGCACCATCACGGAGGAGACCAGGCACACCTGTGCACCATCACGGAGGAGACCAGGCACACCTGTGCACCATCACGGAGGAGACCAGGCACACCTGTGCACCATCACGGAGGAGACCAGGCACACCTGTGCACCATCACGGAGGAGACCAGGCACACCTGTGCACCATCACGGAGGAGACCAGGCACACCTGTGCACCATCACGGAGGAGACCAGGCACACCTGTGCACCATCACGGAGGAGACCAGGCACACCTGTGCACCATCACGGAGGAGACCAGGCACACCTGTGCACCATCACGGAGGAGACCAGGCACACCTGTGCACCATCACGGAGGAGACCAGGCACACCTGTGCACCATCACGGAGGAGACCAGGCACACCTGTGCACCATCACGGAGGAGACCAGGCACACCTGTGCACCATCACGGAGGAGACCAGGCACACCTGTGCACCATCACGGAGGAGACCAGGCACACCTGTGCACCATCACGGAGGAGACCAGGCACACCTGTGCACCATCACGGAGGAGACCAGGCACACCTGTGCACCATCACGGAGGAGACCAGGCACACCTGTGCAGCATCACGGAGACCAGGCACACCTGTGCACCATCACGGAGACCAGGCACACCTGTGCACCATCACGGAGGCTGTAAAGGGAGCCCCAGTTCTCTTCACTTCCCCTATCAGCATGAGTTCTGTTCATATTTGAGAATTTGTAACAATAGCCAATGAGAGTCTGAAAGGACTGGCTGACCCGTCACCACGCTGCAGCTTGAGGGGAAGCTTTGTGCCAGCCTCTCTGCCGGGTCCTGAGAAGACACAGTGTTTGTTTCCGGTGCAGTTACCAAGGAAGCCCGAGGTGGTAGAGTGCTGATGACTTACTAGTTGAAATGCTAAATTCATCTCAAACAGAGGAGTTTACCTAAAGATACAGGGACTGTATTGTAAGCAATGATTTTACGACCAACTGGAAAATGGTGCTCATTGTTCCTCATCCTGTGCCACCTTCTATCTGCTGCAGGTCCCTTGGACTACAGTGTCCACACTGCGTAACCAGCTACAGACTGACCCAAACGGCACACACCTCCTCAGCTTCCCCAAATATGAGACGTTAACATTAAAATCCGACTCTTAATTAGAACTGGGGTAGGGGAGAGAGGAAGGTGGGAATAGTACATTTTCCTACAGAGTAGCCAGCTGACGGGTTTAAACAGTGTGCCTTCCAGACAAGGAGGGAATATGGCAAACAGTTTTCATCTTTCAGGGCACAATTTATATCACCCTGCCCAGGAAACTCTCCCTGACAACAATGCCAATTTCTTTTTAAAGCAAGTATAACGTACACCAGACGTTTTAAATAATTAAGGTCAGATTCCATTGGATGTAAATGTAAAAGAAACAATGAAATGTTTGAGAGTGAGGTAATTACTACACTGGTATTAAGGGGTCAAAAGGCACCTTCACAAAAGGTCTTACCTCCCTGTCCGTCTCCACACCTACAAAAGCACGCACAGAGTGATGGCTGGGCTCAGAGTGAAATCTACACACTACATGAGAGCGAGGACTCTTTTAAGGACAAAAACACAACTGGAGAATCTGCAGCAAAACAAAACCTGGTCTTTGGTGTCTCATTTTAAAGTGCATGATGTAATAATAATCAACGTTCTAAATCATTTGAATTCAGAATGCACGCATAAGAAAGGCCAACATAATGTTCGCTCTAAAAGTTTTCATTATTTTTACTCATTCAACTAAATTTTAGAATTAAAAAGTTTTTAAACTTATGGTTTCTAGAAACTTAAATTTCATTCCTAATATAGAATGAGCTCGTATATAACCATATAGAACCCAGAAGACATGATCTGGAATTTGTGGCAATATATTTTATTAATTTTATGAACCATCGAATATTTAAGGAATCAAATCAAGCTCTTATCACTCAGAACACAATACTTGTATATGCGCATAGATATACAGTGCACATGATTAAATCCTTGCTTCGTTTATGAAATGCTTCACCTTTTTTCCTGTTGTCAAATTAAATACTTTATTGCCAAGCCAATTTTTACCAAAACCCACAAAGGTCATTTGTTTTATGCCCTCAGCTTCACCTATCGGAAGAATGAGGTTTGTTTTTGTTTTTTTATGATGCAACAGATTTTCAATAAAATATCACACAACGAGCCAACGTGACAGAAACGAGACATAGATTCCTTCCCATGGGGAACCAGGAGGACAGAGGCTGCATTGACCTGGTGTGACTTCCTCCTTCCCAGGGGCAGCGGCCTCGGGGTCAGTAAGGGGCCTGGGCGGAGCAGAGCTTTGCAGACCTGGGAAGAAAGAAGTTAGGGACGTCACTGTCGTGTTCAAAACCAACAGGCACATCCTTGACTTTCTGCAAGAAGCGCTTCCTGTGGACGCATATTTCTAATACTTCTATATTGTGGGAAATTTCAAATATGCACAAGAGTAAAAAGAAGGATGTAATCTACTCCCCTGCACCTTGAACCCGGCCTCAACACCGCCAGCGCTCTGCAATTCTTGTCCTGCCCCCACTCCTTTCCCTGGAGGTTTAAAACCAAGCCCAGGGACTGCCGGTGGCCGTGGCCATGGAGTACTTAAGGGACAGTTTCCAGAGGGGCACGGTGCACCCCACTTTCAATCCAAGGAGCGGAGGGGCTTTGGTACCTACAACTGAGTGAATGCCACCCCCCTTAGAAAGGCTACACATTATTTTGGCTACACGATTTATTTAAAGTAGGAAATACCCTAGCCTTGAGAGCAATTATTTCGTATATTAGAATCTCACACCCCCATCGGTGCTGGGAAGCCTATACAAAAAGGTAAAAATGTTTTTAGTTTAAATGTGGGCTCAACATTTATAGACACTATTTACTCCATAGTTTGCATTAACAATGATCATGTGACGCATTCATCCCCTGGATGTTTTTTACATGTTAAGTTGTGATACCAATGCCAAATGGATGAGTATGCAGGATACACGTAGGTATTTGTATTCATACCTCACACGCTCCGTCGGACAAACACCTCCACAAACCTGAGCGCCTCCCTCACTCACAGTCTGGACTGATATATTCTCTCCCTTGAGTAGAATATAGCTACGCTTTCAATCATTCTCTTATGTCTTAATAAGATTTTAAAACACCATTTTGACTTTAAGACATTAAAATGAAGATCTGGAAAGGTCTGGGTTATGTGCCCCAAAATATTCCAGGCGGAAAATGTAATACCCTCCATAGGGCCGCCCCCCGCGCTGCCTCACCCGAGTCAGGTGTGTGTGATGACTCCGCTCGGAGAGGAAGCCGCAGTGGCGTCGCAGACCCACCCGCAGCCCCTGGCCTTCCGCGGAGATTTTGTCACTCATGGAAAAAACAACGTTCAACCTTTATGGAAACCTCACTGGTGTGCTATTTTAAAATTTAAACACAGTCATCTTACATGTCAGTTATGTTTTCTCTGTTGTCCCCATAGTTAGTTTGTGTGTTGGGGGTGAATCTTGGAATCTTTATATTTTGAAGGGACAGATCTGCGGTAATGAGCTAGGACTCCTTTCGGAGTGTTGGTAGATCAAATCCCCACGGTGCACACTCTAGATATCTTACAACTTCATTCGGCAATGATCCCTCAATGAGGTGGGAATTTTTAAAAGTCTGTGAATGCGCCCTCACCTCCTCCCATAATTCTTAAAAACAAAGGGAAATGTCTACATTAAATAGAATAAGAGGAAAATTCATATGTGCATTTACATACACATGTATAGATGTAGAGAACATATGAAGTATGGAAAGGGACCAACCTTCCAATCAATCTCTAATTTTAGAAATATCTAATTTTGAAAAAGTCGTTTATCCCCCTAAAAGCAACACGTGGACATGTGAACAGCTCTGAGTCTAGCATCTCACACTGAGTATCCGCTGGGTGAAGAGTTCTCGGTTAATGTCGGTTCATAACCTCCAGCGCACGTGCACACACACGCACACACACGCACTGCCGGGTCTTGGAAACATCACTAAATGGTGGAGATCAACCACAACAAAGTTGCTGGACAGCACAACCAGGTCAAGTACGAAGCAGAGTTTGCCTGCCAGCTGCCGTGGGAAACTACTATTCATGAAATTTCGATTATGTGGGAAAGCATCCGGCGTTCTTCAATATGTGAGGCTCCCCTTTCACGTGGTTACCTGAAACCACCCGCTGTGCTAAAGCGTGTCACTTTTCGCTGCTGTAGTCATTAAATGGAAATCTTCCTGGAAATAATTTTTAAGTTTGAAAACACTCAGCCTTGTTATGCGGTGTTAACTTACTTCTTGAGGGACCAGGAGTCTAGGCTGTTTTTGAAATGAATGTATATTCTCACTGTGTCACTGAATGGTTTGGGACATCCAGAAACATGTTTCCTAGAGAACCTCACCCACTCCACCGAGCAGCAGCCTGTGGGGGTGCCGCTGGGGCCACTTGTGACGGCCCAGGCAGCGACATTTCTGTTTGTAGTGAATCAGGTTTTAAAACTCAAATGCTATTAAGAACCTGTTTTTATTTTATACTAGTAGTATTGCACAAATCTTAGGGTTAGGCTTGCATTTTCTTGAGGCTAATGTTAATTTTTATTTCCAAGTATAAATGTGCAGAAGGCATGCAGAGATTGTTAGTATTACTGAAATGCAGTCGGATGGCTGCGCCTGGGAACCAAGTCTTTCCCTGGTAGCCTTGTGACTTGGGGCAAGCACTGCGGGGAGAGCTGGGGAAGTTTCTGGAGCCTCCTGCAGCATCAGAGCGGGTTTCTTTGGCCAAGTGTGTGTTCCCGCAGAGGCCTGGGCCGGCAAGCCTCAGAGAGGAAGGACAGGGAACAGAGCCTTCGATGCTCCTCACACAGTTCTGCGAGTATTCTCAGGCACGCGGGCCTGGGGAACACTGGGAACACTTCAAAAACACGTTCTTTGGGAAATTGCGGTTGTGTACTCATTTATGTGATTTTCACAAATTACATTACATGTCCAAAATCAATGAAAAAAAAGCTCTCAAACTCCTGAACAGCCCTGACTGTACCATGTCATTGTTCTCCTCAAACTCCCAACCAAACTGAATTTTAAACAGAAAACAACCCCATTTTCTACTCAGAATAAGAAAACTTTGTCCTGTTAATGGGGATCTATAACTAACTTTCTTGTTTAATAACTTTTGATGACATAAATATTCATCTACAGAAGTACAATATTAAGAACCTTGGCGATAAAATTGATACTGTGGATGGAGGTGTTTATACTTTATTATAAACAATTCTAAATGCTAAATGTTTCAAGCTTCCACAATTGCATAAAAAGCACTCCCCTGGCTCTAAATCATTGTGTGTGTGTGTGTGTGTGTGTGTGTGTTAAATATGCACACACACACATAGATATATATAATAAATTTGTAAAGGCACCTAAAAAGAATGTACACTGTGGACTACATCCTTGTAAATGCATTAAAAAGTAGCAAAATGTTAGAAAGTGCGCAATCAGCCAAACTGATGGGAACAATGACGGGAACATGTTTCAGCTTCGTATGTAGTAAGTAAAGTTCTGGCAATTCTTTTCTAGTTTCTGAGTGTATGTGTGTGTGTGTTTAAGAACATGAATCAAGTATTATTTTCCAACCTCTGCCAGAAAAAAAAATAATTTTAAAGAAATAGCTATTCTGGAAAGCAACTTGAAAAAAAATATCCAGCACCCAGCCAAATAAATAAACACAACCCCTTAAAATGTCTGACTAAAGGAAACCCCTCCTTCTGCTGGTGTGGGCACCAGGCAAGCCAGAGGGATTGCTTCCTGGTCCAGGATGAAGACTTCAAATCTCTCAGAGTTGAAACTAAGAAAGTGCTTTGGGTTCACCTGATCCCGACCGGCCATGTGCTCCTTAACAATCAGAAATCACGTTTCTTCTGAATTCCCACCAGATGTGGGTGCAGGAGGTGCAGCCTGGCGCTGGGCAGCCCAGGGCTGGTGTGAGTTTGTGTAGCTCCCAGTGAGTCATCTCTGAGTCAGTGAGGAGCACTGGTGGCCAGGAGACAGCGAGGCTCCGTTTGAAAAAAAGCTGCTCCAAGCTGAGCGGGAGAGGAGGGGTGGGCCCGCGGGAGGACGCGTGTTCCATCAGACACAGTACCTGCCTTCCCCGCTGCCTGTCAGCGAGGCCTGCCTCCCGGGCGGTGGGGGAATGTTTCGTCTTCATCTATGATGGCTTCGCGCTGCAGAAATAAAGCAGCGGCGTGTGTGGGTAGACATGCGCTCACAGGGCATCGTATCACAGTTTTATCAGCTAAAAATATAAAACCATGGGATCAATGGGCCGGTTTTTATCAGCCCTTTTGGCTCAAGACGTCATCGCACGGATTACCCCTTCCGGGCGTGTTAATGGCACCACTAACTAACTGGTTAGTCTCCTGGAAGTAAACATGGTTCTTGGTCTTTGTTTCTCTTCCTTCAATCGGATGCGAGAAATAAGAAGAAACGCATTTCCTACTGAAGGAGCTGAAAAGTCTTCATGTTTTTGTTGTTGTTTTGGCTTTCAAAGAGCACTTTAAAGTGGCCAGCTTCTTGAAATAGTTAAAACTGTTTCCTTCCGATTTACCATAATAACCCATTTTGTGGTTTTAAACCAGGACCCAAAGTTTGAGACAATTAAGCTTTCTCGGCAATGTCTTTCATTTCACTGTGGATAACACACTGACACTTCCTGAGGAAGCTTCTTTTCACACCATTTAGGGATCCAGCTGTAATTTCACTTTGCTGCCCCCCAAACCTGACTTTTCAGTGAAGAGGGAGCTCCAGTTTTCCTGTGCACGTGCAAACCCTGAATTCCAGCTGCAGTGCAGTGTGAGCCTGCAGTGCAGACCGGACTTACAGCTTCAGGCCCGGCGACTGCCCGCCAGAGACTTGCAAATCACCCTCCGAGTCCGTGAAGCAGGACGCTAACGTTTTACCTGGCATTTAAAATATTTAAATTCCACTATAATGTGCTTATTTAAAACCTGTGAAATACAAGCACACTTACTCAATGCCATTTCGTCCCCACAGTCCCTTTAACCCGCATCATTGCCTTTACTTTTTAATTGAAACGAAATCTTCAAAAGTCAGCTCAAGCCCTCACTTCGGGGGTCAGCACGCCTGACATTTGGGCCAAGGCGTAAACTTAATACATTTTTAAACAGGGCTTCCCTTTGCTTTGAGCGCTAAGTAAAGGGAAATATATTGAATATGGTTTTGCAGGCACATTCCGGCCAGCCAGCGCCAGCACTCGGTAAAATCAACATTACACTGGAGCCGATGCGATGAGGCATTAGGCCCACGACCACACCTGAGCCTTTGTTTAATTCGGTTGGTGCAGAGATACTTGAATTAGCTCAGGAAGGCCTTCTCCCTTCTGGGAAACCTGGGGCGGGGGGGGGGCGGGAACGGACGGGTGTGGCGCTCTCCCTCGCCCCTTGGCCTTAAATATTTGAAAACGACATTCATTTTAATTTGGACTTGAACCTGTCAGAGACCTACCTCCGCAGGAGGACCACCGAGACTCCTCCGCAGTCCCCAGAGCAGCCAAGCCCCGTGCAGGCTGCGCTGACGCCGCTGGATCCGCAGCCGCGCTTCCCGGACACGGGACTGGGCGGCTCCACGGAGAGGCGCCGCTCGGCCCTCGGTGTCTCCACAGGCGCGTCGCTCAGGGTACGGTCACCCAGGAAGCCAGCGGGCCGACAGGCTCACAGGCCGCACGTTAATGTTCAACTTCTTGAAACTCAGCAACGATGGAAACAAATAGGAAAAAAACAAACAAACACCCCAAAAGGCCAGCTACGTGCTCGCGGAGCACAGCGCTGCTCTGCGGAGGCCTGGGAGCGAGCTTACCTCGACCTTCGAAGGTCTGCAAGCCTCAGAGCGCAGAGGGTTTGGAAGCCTTTGTACACCGCGCCTGCTTTCCTTGGAGCGAAGTTCTTGCAGGTCTTCTCCGTGGTCCCGGGTCCCCTTGGAGCGGCGGTCACCCTCCGCTCGCACCCTGGCCGCGGCCGGGAAGGCCTCCGCGGCGCGGGAGGAAGCGCGGCTTCGGGGACATTAATTAAAAGGCCCTGCAGTGGGGGCGCAGGGACCCCCACCCGGGGACGCAGCACGCACTCGCTCCTGCTACCGTAACGTGTATGCGATTGTGCTGTTCACATAATTAAAGCCTGGTTTTTAAAGTGCGCGCGTTTGAAAGTGGCAGAAAGACTATTCAAACTGGAGACCAGGCTTACAGATACTATGCCAGCCACTGGGCGCGCAGAGTAGGGCCGTCAGTACAGAGCGGCTGTTATCCTTCTACTCGGCGGAGACCT